CTATGGGGTTGAGATCTGGAGACTGGCTAGGCCACTCCAGGACCTTGAAATGCTTCTTACGAAGCCACTCCTTTGTTGCCCGGGCGGTGTGTTTGGGATCATTGTCATGCTGAAAGACCCAGCCACGTTTCATCTTCAATGTCCTTGCTGATGGAAGGAGATTTTCACTCAAAATCTCACGATACATGGCCCCATTCATTCTTTCCTTTACACGGATCAGTCGTCCTGGTCCCTTTGCAGAAAAACAGCCCCAAAGCATGATGTTTCCACCCCCATGCTTCACAGTAGGTATGGTGTTCTTTGGATGCAACTCAGCATTCTTTGTCCTCCAAACATGACGAGTTGAGTTTTGACCAAAAAGTTATATTTTGGTTTCATCTGACCATATGACATTCTCCCAATCCTCTTCTGGATCATCCAAATGCACTCTAGCAAACTTCAGACGGGCCTGGACATGTACTGGCTTAAGCAGGGGGACACGTCTGGCACTGCAGGATTTGAGTCCCTGGCGGCGTAGTGTGTTACTGATGGTAGGCTTTGTTACTTTGGTCCCAGCTCTCTGCAGGTCATTCACTAGGTCCCCCCGTGTGGTTCTGGGATTTTTGCTCACCGTTCTTGTGATCATTTTGACCCCACGGGGTGAGATCTTGCGTGGAGCCCCAGATCGAGGGAGATTATCAGTGGTCTTGTATGTCTTCCATTTCCTAATAATTGCTCCCACAGTTGATTTCTTCAAACCAAGCTGCTTACCTATTGCAGATTCAGTCTTCCCAGCCTGGTGCAGGTCTACAATTTTGTTTCTGGTGTCCTTTGACAGCTCTTTGGTCTTGGCCATAGTGGAGTTTGGAGTGTGACTGTTTGAGGTTGTGGACAGGTGTCTTTTATACTGATAACAAGTTCAAACAGGTGCCATTAATACAGGTAACGAGTGGAGGACAGAGGAGCCTCTTAAAGAAGAAGTTACAGGTCTGTGAGAGCCAGAAATCTTGCTTGTTTGTAGGTGACCAAATACTTATTTTCCACCATAATTTGCAAATAAATTCATTAAAAATCCTACAATGTGATTTTCTGGATTTGTTTCTTCTCAATTTGTCTGTCATAGTTGACGTGTACCTATGATGAAAATTACAGGCCTCTCTCATCTTTTTAAGTGGGAGAACTTGCACAATTGGTGGCTGACTAAATACTTTTTTTCCCCACTGTATACTGTACCACAGTTTGGAAAACATGGTGAACGATCCTCTGAGATTTTACTGGGCCTAGTTTCCTTTATCTATAACAACCACAAGAGGGCAATGTTACTATGGATAACCAGAAGGACCAGTGGCCTATAGACTGACTGAATGACACAGTGTTGGGATGATTGATAGGTTGTGTGCCTAGCCAGCAAAGTGACCGGTTTTCATATGTTCGTTCTAATGCGGAGCAAAACTGGCCAATGCTAAGAGTGCAATAGCACCTATGTTGTTAAAGATTAGGCTACTTAAATTATATAAAAGATTAGACCCTACATAAAATATTAGGCCTGCATTAGTCTTTGGATAGGCAAGATCAACCACAATTGCTCATCACTTAAGATTCTCTAAGAGTTAGCCTAGCCATGATTAGGCTACTATTCATCTCAGTTTGGACTGAAAAAGTTTAGGAGGGCCTCCCTTCATGATTTGAGGTTCTGTTTCAAAAAAGCTCAACTTACTTTTACAAAAACTTGTACTGCATGTGCCTTTTATTCAATTGGACAAATGTTATTTTGCTTGGGTGTGGCATTCGTCCATCGTTGAGTTGACACACTTTGATATTTCACAAGGACTGCCACCTGTCTTTGTCAAGCAACCCCTCATACCTATTTCTTTCTGATATCACATGGGATCTTATCCAGAGGTAAATTCCTTCATGTAGGCCTATCTCCTAGGTCCTTCAGGGTGAGTTGCTTAACCTCGTACAGCTTTCACTCAACTCAAACCCACCAGCAACATCATTCCATGCTATTTTGTCAGACATGACTACTACTACTGACTTGAGACAGTTGTATCTGTTTGATTTGGAGCTAAGGTCTGTGTAAATACAACTGTGCCAGGAAAATGTATGTAGAATTATGCAACATTGATGCCTTGCACGTCATGGTACTGTGTACCATGTACCGTGCTGTAGACCAATGATGCATTCAGATTTTAGTGCACAGTTTATGTGTTTTTAAGTGATTTTGTAGAGTGCAGACTAGGCTATACGTAGGCTATTGTTTGACCAAATGGTAGTGGGCTTTATACTGCTTTGCTTACCATGGAAGGTTTAGAGGCTTGTTGCAGTTCTAAACCTAGGCTACTGAATGGTGATGTGTATTGAAGGCAAATAGGCTATAGGCTATTCTCCAAGGGTGTTCTAGGGTTGATAATAAGGCAAAACATAACCTATACCCGCTCTACAATGTAGGCTAAAACAATCAGTTGAGTGAGTTGATGAGTTGCATTGTGCTTTAGTTGCCTAGGCTAAATTTGACAAGAGAAAAAGTGACAGCTGTTAAAGAAAAAAGGTATGTGAATGTGCATGCCTGAGAGAGGGAGGGACAGAGAGAGAGGGGGGAGGGACAGAGAGAGAGAGGGAGGGACAGAGAGAGAAAAAAAATACCACAAATACAAATTCCATCTAGACACCGTTGCCCTAGAGCACACAAAAAACTATACATACCTCGGCCTAAACATCAGCGCCACAGGTAACTTCCACAAAGCTGTGAACGATCTGAGAGACAAGGCAAGAAGGGCCTTCTATGCCATCAAAAGGAACATAAAATTTGACATACCAATTAGGATCTGGCTAAAAATACTTGAATCAGTTATAGAACCCATTGCCCTTTATGGTTCTGAGGTCTGGGGTCCGCTCACCAACCAAGAATTCACAAAATGGGACAAACACCAAATTGAGACTCTGCATGCAGAATTCTGCAAAAACATCCTCCGTGTACAACGTAAAACACCAAATAATGCATGCAGAGCAGAATTAGGCCAATACCCGCTAATTATCAAAATCCAGAAAAGAGCCGTTAAATTCTATAACCACTTAAAAGGAAGCGATTCCCAAACCTTCCATAACAAAGCCATCACCTACAGAGAGATGAACTTGGAGAAGAGTCCCCTAAGTAAGCTTGTCCTGGGGCTCTGTTCACAAACACAAACAGACCCCACACAGCCCCAGGACAACAACAACAACAACACAACTAGACCCAACCAAATCATGAGAAAACAAAAAGAGAATTACTTGACACATTGGAAAGAACAAACAAAAAAACAGAGCAAACTAGAATGCTATTTGGCCCTAAACAGAGAGTACACAGTGGCAGAATACTTGACCACTGTGACTGACCCAAACTTAAGGAAAGCTTTGACTATGTACAGACTCAGTGAGCATAGCCTTGCTATTGAGAAAGGCCGCCGTAGGCAGACCTGGCTCTCAAGAGAAGACAGGCTATGTGCACACTGCCCACAAAATGAGGTGGAAACTGAGCTGCACTTCCTAACCTCCTGCCAAATGTATGACCATATTAGAGACACATATTTCCCTCAGATTACAGCGATCCACAAAGAATTCGAAAACAACCCAATTTTGATAAACTCCCTTATCTACTGGGTGAAAAACCACAGTGTGCCATCACAGCTGCAAGATTTGTGACCTGTTGCCACAAGAAAAGGGCAACCAGTGAAGAACAAACACCATTGTAAATACAACCCATATTTATGTTTATTTATTTTCCCATTTGTACTTTAACTATTTGCACATTGTTACAACACTGTATATATACATAATATGACATTTGAAATGTCTTTATTCTTTTGAAACTTCTGAGTGTAATGTTTACTGTTAATATTTATTGTTTATTTCACTTTTGTTTACTATCTACTTCACTTGCTTTGGCAATGTTAACACACGTTTCCCATGCCAATAAAGCCCTTAAATTGAAATTGAATTGAGAAAGCGAGAGATAGAGAGAGATAGGGAGGGGTGGTTCCTATTGATTGCACCACAGACTAAGATAAAAGAGACAATGGGCAATGAAAAGGGTGAAGGAAGGAAGTTAGGTATAAGGTTGAATTGCACATTCTGTTAGAATGATTAACCTAATCAGACCATCCATTCTCACCAGTATTGTCCTAGAGACTGAACACAGTAGGCTAACTTGTGAGATGCTATAGCCTACAGATCCCAATTGAAAATGTATTGAGGCCCATACAATTATTAAGCAGATAGAGAAAAATCATGTAGCTTATTCATTTGAAGTTGTTATTCAATTAACACATCACAGCTCTCTTCCGCGTAGTGTGGGAATATGGAAAAGCCCTATATGTGTCGGGGGGGCTGGGGGGCAGAGAAGACATTAAGATAGCGCCAGTTAGTCACTATCAGCTGCTGAAATGCACACATAGTTGGCAACTGTATGCGCTGGGAGGAGTCAACATCTGAGTTCTTAGAATGTCCATGAGCCTACCTCTCAGCTTTATAAAATAAGAAGATCTTGACTACTGGCTGGAAATGGGTAGTTAATGATACTGAGTCTGTTGCTGTAAGTATTTTATCTCTCATCCCATTGCATGATGCTCTCTCTGTCTAATGCCTCGATATTTGGTAATATGAAGAATATTAATCTTACATTGTACAGGAGCAAAACACTGTAGCCTAGGCTATTAGTCAGGATGCTACTGAATAGCATCCAAAGAGTCAGCAGACCTTCATTTTAGACCTTCAATTTAAGTTTCAGTACTGTGGAAATGTAGGCTATTTAATATCACTAATTAAGAAACTAGTCTAACCCTAGTTTTCAGATCTCATAGACCCATATTCATTAAAATATTTTTTTATTCCACTATCCCAGTTTTATCTCCTAAAACCCTCTTGGTGTTTGTTCTCTAAAGTAGTTGATAAAATAATAATAATATGAGTTTGTTTTCTTGTAATTCCTCAACACGACTGAAGGAAAAAGACGTGAAATGTGTTTCAATCCATCCCATTTCTTTCAGGTTTGGTGCTGAGCTGTGGAAAAGGGTGACAGTAATCACTGAAGAGAAATAATGGCCGTCCATGAGCCAAAAGACAAGTGAGTAGCAGCCTCTTTATGTGTTGAATGTGTATGGCGACATCTTCAAATTTTGACAATGCACCCACAGATATAGTATCAAGTTTCTGTGACACTTTGGCTAGTCCTTCTTGATATGGATATTGGCAAATTATATTGGAACGTGGTGCTTGCTTATGCTAAAAAAATCTACAGGCTTTGTGACTTCTTGGACCCAAATGGTAGTCCCGCAAAAATTACTGGAATTTGCTTAATTGAATCCCACATGTTGTCTCATAACAGTCAAGTAATTACCATTCTACCTTATCATTTCTGTGGGCCTACATACTATGGTATTTATTGTCAAATTACAAATAAAGTCTGTAAGCCTAGTTTCCTCTCCTCTGTCATCCAACAGAAACAATGGCGTGTGGCTGATCTTTTTCATGCTGGGCTTAGGAACTCTCCTGCCATGGAACTTCTTTATGACAGCCACCATGGTAGAGCACACAATATTTTCATATCATCTACTTTAAGAGTGTGAATAATTAAAGAATACATTTCAGAGATACAATGCCAGAGCATTTAGTGAAATGTCTGCATTCATTTCAAAATATGTCTCAAGTCTTACTTTTCAGATATTCTTAATAGCCAATGATAATTAATATAAATACTGATAACCCCTAATTTATTCATTATAATAATTAATGATGGATTGGATTTAAATTCAATAGCATTTTTCCAATTTTCTCAAAGTGCTTTACATTATAGTATATTTTATACATTATTGTATTTCATCCACTGACAATGGATAGCACCCATCTGGGTGATGCATGGCAGCCATGTTGTGCCAGAACTATCACCACACATCAACAATTAACTCAAATTAAGTGACTGTCCTCTGTCTCTACAGTATTTTACCAGCCGTCTCAGCGACCCCTCCCAAATGGGCACCGACCTGTCAGGCAATGGGACCGGGGGAGAAGGGGACAACCGTAGCCTTTTGGAGGCCAAGTTCAATAACGTAATGACGCTTTGTGCCATGGTGCCTTTACTGGTCTTCACCTGTCTCAACTCAGTCCTGCATCAAAGGTTTGCCCACCACCCCACCCACATCTTTCCTAATGCATTAAAGCTCTACTCCAAAAGTTATAAATACAGTAATGTACACACACAAGGGTAAAAACATAATGGTTTGAGAAAAATAGTGTTTTTTAGACAACTGGGAACTTCTGAAGATTAGGGCATTCAAGGAGTTGGTCTGATGGTATAATGTGATGTCATTGGCCACCCCTCCTGCTTGAGGAACAATAGAGGAGCAATGGAGAACAAAAGAGGAAAGGCCCACTCTCACACTTGTGTCATGTCATGTCATACCTGGACCACCTATTGAGATGCGCCTTTTATTAAAGGCCCAATGCAGTTGTGTTTATCTCAATATCAAATCATTTCTGGGTAACAATTAAGTACATTAGTGTGATTGTTTTCAATTAAAATGGTCAAAAATAAACAAAAATAACAAAATCTTAGCAAAAATGCAATTTCTCAAGCAAGATTTTTGCTAGGACAGTCTGGGAGTGGTCTGATAGAGGGGCCTAATTGGAGGAGCCCAATGGGAGGGATGTGGAACCTAAAAACTAGCTTGTATTGGCAGAGAAGAGGGAAAACTCACTTTGTTATTGGTCTATTAACTCACACAGAGTGTACAGAACATTAGGAATACCTGCTCTTTCATTGACATAGACTGACCAGGTGAATCCAGGTGAAAGCTATGATCCCTTATGAGTGTCGATGAATGGGAAAATACAGGTTAAAGAAGGATTTTTAAGCCTTGAGAAAATGTAGTCATGGATTGTGTATGTGTGCCATTCAGAGGGTGAATGGGCAAGACAAAATATTTAAGTGCCTTTGAACGGGCTATGGTAGTAGCTGCCAGGCGCACCAGTTTGAGTGTGTCAAGAACTGCAACTCTGCTGGGTTTTTCATGCTCAACAGTTTCCTGTGTGTATCAAGAATGGTCCACTACCCAAAGGACATCCAGCCAACTTGACACAACTGTGGGAAGCATTGGAGTCAACATGGGTCAGCATCCCTGTAGAACGCTTTCGACACCTTGTAGAGCCCATGCCCCAACGAATTGAGGCTATTCTGAGTGCAAAAGGGGGTGCAACTCAAGATTAGGAAGGTGTTCCTAATGTTTTGTACAGTCAGTGTATACTGCTTGGTGATGTGAATTTCATGTAGTCTGTTCAAACAACTCTTACACTAAAAGTGCATTATTATAATGTTCACGATTTCACAGTATTATTCCAACCTCATAGTGTGGAAATATATACATTTTGGACTGCACTGCCGCTTTAAGTAAATCAGGCGTTAGAGGTGAAAATGAGAGTGGAGCAGAGAGGAAGAGGCAAAGCGAAAGGTTATATGCCGCGTTCACATTCTAGTCGGAACTAGGCCCATGAAGTGAGAAATGTTTGTATGGAGGTCAATGAGAGTGCCGAATTTAAATAAATAAAATTGCTACGTGAGGCTTATTTGAACGAACAAAAGTTTCGTAATGGCTAGGTTGTTACGAAAACACTGTTATAAGTGGTCGCATGGGCAACTTGGAAAAAAATTACTTTATTTCAGAGGTGTGCCTGTTGTCATAGAGATAGATAGAGGACTCATCATGGCTATAACCAGTTTTAGTATGAACATTGCCATTGTGGGCTTCCACCATTTTAAAGTAGTCAACTGGGTGGGGATTCCTATGAGATGGGAGCAATCAGCCAATGAAGAAGAAAGTGTACTACTTTAAAATGGAGATAGTCTCAATGGCGTTGCCAATGCTTTCACAGACACTATAATGGATATATATATGTAATCACTAACTGTAAGTCGCTCTGGATAAGAGCGTCTGCTAAATGACTTAAATGTAAATGTAAATGTAATGGCACAGATACAAATATGAGTCCTCTATCTATCTCTATGGCCTGTTGTTCGCACGCATATCTGCCCTCTCATTGGCTAGAATGGTCCCACCTGATCTCGCCTCCTCCCGCCTGCCTTCCATCTTTGAGAACATGTATTTCCATTGTTAGAGTGGTCACTTGAATATCTTGCCAATATAATAGACAATCTTTGACTGGAGTAGGACTTTAATCTATTGCTGGACAAGCTAATATGATAATGTGTGCCTGTATTGAGCAGGCATGTTTAGAATCCCTTTGGGGTTCAACTTAGACGGTTGTACCCTTTGTACACTATTGTGCCGACCCAATCTGCACTGTGCTAGCTCAGATATTTTCTTTTCACATTTTCCTTTCCAGCATGGTTCCAGCAACTACAGTGGATCCATAGCCAGGCCAGCACATTTCAGCTTGGCCCAGCTCGGTTCAGTAGTGTAAAAAGTATACTATGCAGGATAACCACTTGTAATCAGCATAAGATTGACCTCAGATATTTCACTCCAACTCTGTAACTCCCAGGATTCCTCAGAAGTTTCGGATCATGGGCAGCCTGGCAGTGATTTTGGTGGTGTTTCTTCTGACGGCCATCTTGGTAAAAATAGAGATGGCACCCCTCCCCTTCTTCACGTTGACCATGATCAAGATTGTCATCATAAACTGTGAGTTTTTCCGGCCTTTCTAGGGTCCCTTTTTTGCCCCCTTCCTCCCTCTTTTTAACGTGTCAAATCTTTTCCCCTTCAATCATCTGAGTTGTCCTGAAAGTAGAACTAGGTCTCAGCACCCTCAATGTCGTAAGTCTTTATTTTACATTTTGGTAATTAGCAGATGCTCTTATCCAGGGCGACTTACAGTCAGTGCATTCAACTAAGGTAGAGAGAACAACCACATATTACAGTCATTACAAATAATACAATTTGTCAATAAAGCATCTATCAGCAAAATCAGTGCTAGTAAGAAAATACAAGTGTGAGTGTTAGTGCAAGAATGACACATACAACAGTAAGGTATTTGTTTTGGGGGGGCATTCACAACTAGCAGGATAACTATAACTGAGTTGAGTTTTATTTCATTATATATGGCAGCTAGAAGCTGAATTGCGTATACAGGAAATTCAGGAAAAATAAATCAGGCTAATCAAGAAAGTAAAGAGGTCTGAAGAGATCATGGACCAGAGAGTTGTTTTGATGTTTGAGAGAAGGAAACATCGATGCTCTGAGTGGAGGGAGCATCTCGATCACAGCTGGTCAGAGTCAAAAGACAGGCAGGTCAGTAGCCTCAGCTGCGCACCTGGTCATACTCCTTCGTAGACAATTAACTGTCTAGTCTTGCACTACCACTTGGGTAGTGCCACTGCTGCTACTAGGGCACTTACAGATGTCGGATCTTAATTTGACCCCCTTCGTCGCAGGATGAAAAATAGTCCTGCAGCAGGAGGATTTGAATGAAGAGTGAATATTTCAAATCGCCACCAGGGGGCAGCTGGAAGCGGTGTTTGTAGGATATACAATAATTTTGGTCCACCGGGCTTCAGTTCAAGTAACATATCTAGGCTATGTGCAGGCTACAGTGCATCTCTTGTAAATTCTCATGGATTATAATAAATTGACATATTTGTAGGGGGTAGATGTATCATTTTTTTAATCAATTGTTTTATTATACTGTATGTTCAAGGCAATCAATAGGCGGAATAAATTAGTGGTTGCCTAAGTGGCTGTGTGGTCCAGTGGTTACAGCCGTTGACCCTGGCACTCATATGCCAGAGTTTGCATGAGTTTGAATCTGCCCCACTGCCCTTTGAGTTTTTAGAGGAAATAGTACTTTTCTAGTTACTCTCTGTGGGCTATACTTGTACTCTTACTCAAGTAATTTCTGAAGGAAGTAACTTACTTTTTACTCCATTATATTTTACCAAATCACTTCAGTTACATAGATATATTATATTATTATATCGTTGCTGTCAGATGAAAACCTCGTAACTCCAAATGTGTTGTTTTTCATTTTTTTACATGAATCGATACTATTGGTTCCCGTTTACGTCTGTATGAACGTTTCACGACCCCTTGACCAATGAAATGTATTCAAAATAGCTTGTCATCAAAACTCGTAAGTCCATTTGCTCTCAAAGTTGTCCGTCAAACCCTGGATCTCCACCATGACTCTTGAAGGGAAGTGCACGTCTTTACTCCTGAGGATATTTTTTTGGTGGGTTCTTACCAAGTCGCTATCAGAGGTAAGTTGCACTATAATTACCTTTTTCCTTTGTAATATTATATATTTCTGGAGTAAAATAAGTATTTCTCAGATATAATTCTGCTATTGAAATTGTGTTTTGAGGGCGAGTGCAAATCAAATGGCTAGTTCGCCTGGAAACCCGACGTTGAATTGCATTGAATTCTACGTTGGGCAGAAATGATCATTTGAATCAGGAAAGTTTCCTCTCACGACCTCTACAAGCCAAAATGAATTAAAATTATATTTTAATGTACTTTACCGGTTGTCAGTGCAGTTGGTCCTTTTGGCGGTAGGAATGTTAGATAATATATCCACAGGAAAGTATAATTACATAAATCTTTCAAAACGCTGGTAATGTGTTCAGATTTCTATCACCTGAAACATGCGCAGAACCATGTAAACACATACACATGCTTCGTACAGTGGGGAAAAAAATGTATTTAGTCAGCCACCAATTGTGCAAGTTCTCCCACTTAAAAAGATGAGAGAGGCCTGTCATTTTCATCATAGGTACACGTCAACTATGACAGACAAATTGAGAAAATGTTTTCCAGAAAATCACATTGTAGGATTTTTAATGAATTTATTTGCAAATGATGGTGGAAAATAAGTATTTGGTCACCTACAAACAAGCAAGATTTCTGGCTCTCACAGACCTGTAACTTCTTCTTTAAGAGGCTCCTCTGTCCTCCACTCGTTACCTGTATTAATGGCACCTGTTTGAACTTGTTATCAGTATAAAAGACACCTGTCCACAACCTCAAACAGTCACACTCCAAACTCCACTATGGCCAAGACCAAAGAGCTGTCAAAGGACACCAGAAACAAAATTGTAGACCTGCACCAGGCTGGGAAGACTGAATCTGCAATAGGTAAGCAGCTTGGTTTGAAGAAATCAACTGTGGGAGCAATTATTAGGAAATGGAAGACATACAAGACCACTGATAATCTCCCTCGATCTGGGGCTCCACGCAAGATCTCACCCCGTGGGGTCAAAATGATCACAAGAACGGTGAGCAAAAATCCCAGAACCACACAGGGGGACCTAGTGAATGACCTGCAGAGAGCTGGGACCAAAGTAACAAAGCCTACCATCAGTAACACACTACGCCGCCAGGGACTCAAATCCTGCAGTGCGAGACGTGTCCCCCTGCTTAAGCCAGTACATGTCCAGGCCCGTCTGAAGTTTGCTAGAGTGCATTTGGATGATCCAGAAGAGGATTGGGAGAATGTCATATGGTCAGATGAAACCAAAATATAACTTTTTGGTAAAAACTCAACTCGTCGTGTTTGGAGGAGAAAGAATGCTGAGTTGCATCCAAAGAACACCATACCTACTGTGAAGCATGGGGGTGGAAACATCATGCTTTGGAGCTGTTTTTCTGCAAAGGGACCAGGACGACTGATCCGTGTAAAGGAAAGAATGAATGGGGAAATGTATCGTGAGATTTTGAGTGAAAACCTCCTTCCATCAGCAAGGGCATTGAAGATGAAACGTGGCTGGGTCTTTCAGCATGACAATGATCCCAAACACACCGCCCGGGAAACGAAGGAGTGGCTTCGTAAGAAGCATTTCAAGGTCCTGGAGTGGCCTAGCCAGTCTCCAGATCTCAACCCCATAGAAAATCTTTGGAGGGAGTTGAAAGTCTGTGTTGCCCAGCGACAGCCCCAAAACATCACTGCTCTAGAGGAGATCTGCATGGAGGAATGGGCCAAAATACCAGCAACAGTGTGTGAAAACCTTGTGAAGACTTACAGAAAACGTTTGACCTGTGTCATTGCCAACAAAGAGTATATAACAAAGTATTGAGAAACTTTTGTTATTGACCAAATACTTATTTTCCACCATTATTTGCAAATAAATTCATTAAAAATCCTACAATGTGATTTTCTGGATTTTTTTTTCTCATTTTGTCTGTCATAGTTGACGTGTACCTATGATGAAAATTACAGGCCTCTCTCATCTTTTTAAGTGGGAGAACTTGCACAATTGGTGGCTGACTAAATACTTTTTTTCCCCACTGTAAGTATGCATGCGTCTCGTGCATGTATTTTTTATCTTGTGTGCATGCTTCAGGTGATAGAAATCAGAACGCATTCCTACCGCCAAAAGGACCAACCTCACGGACAACCGGTAATGTATGTTAAAATATAATTTTATTCAACATTCTGGCTTGTAGAGGTTCTGAGAGGATTCAAATGCTAATTGCTGCCTGACATAGAAATCAATGCAATTCAACATCGGGTTTCCAGGCAAATGGTTAATTAGCGTTAGCTAACCCAGAATCTGACAACGTTTAATCTCCTGTTTTTAGCTCCCCATATTATCTCTGCTTGTTGGCTAACTATCCACCTTGTCATTGACATAAAGAGTGAACAGATTAATCAGATGTGTGTGGCAATAACTAACTAGCTATCACATTAGGTTGCCACTAGATACCCTGGCTAAGCTAGCTAGCTAGCTGCAGTGTCAACCATGTAGCTAACTTACATTAGCTAGATTAACCGGTCAGTCCAGCGCAGCATTCTCCCACTCCATTTCTCACTCGTGTGTGTGTGTGTGTGTGTGTGCATGTGTGCGCGTGTGTCTAAATGTCATTCTGTTTTTATGACAAGCCCTATAAGCACATCTGTCAGTGTATCAACTCAGTAAGCTGTTTGTGCCATATACTACACTGAACAAAAATATAAACGCAACATGCAACAATTTCAAAGATTTTAATGAGTTACAGTTCATAGAAGGAAATCAGCCAATTGAAATGAAAACATTATGCCCTAATCTATGGATTTCACATGACTGGGCAGGGGCACAGACATGGATGGACCTGAGAGGGCATAGGCCCACCCACTTGGGAGCAAGGCCCAGCCAATTATAATGAGTTTTTCCCCACAAAAGGGCTTTATTATTATAGACACACCCCTCCCCTCCTCAGACGATCCCGCTGGTGTAGAAACTGGATGTGGAGGTCCTGGGCTGGTGTGGTTACACGTGGTCTGTGTTTGTGAGGCCAGTTGGACGTACTGCCAAATTCTCTAAAACGATGGCTTATGGTAGAAAATGAACATTAAATTATCTGACAACAGCTTTGTTGGGAATTCCTGCAGTCAGTATGCCAGTTGCACGCTCCCTCAAAACTTGAGACATCTGTGACATTGTTGTGTGACAAATAGTGGCCTTTTATTGTCCCCAGCACAAGATGCACCTGTGTATTGATCATGCTGTTTAATCAGCTTCTTGATATGCTACACCTGTCAGCTGGATGGATTATCTTGGCAAAGGAGAAATGCTCACTAACAGGGATGTAAACACATTTGTGCAAAACATTTGAGAGAAATAACCTTTTTGTGATTATGGTAAATTTCTGGGATCTTTTATTTCAGCTCATAAAACAATGTACATGTTGCATTTATATTTTTGTTCAATATAGAAATACAAATATGTGTGTGTGTGTGTGTCTTTTTATTTACAGCTTGTTGTGGCATCACCGAGAGGGAAGAGAATGGGCCATCCAAGAAAAGAAAATACCCTTCAAAGTGGAAAGGAGTGGTTCGTAAGAGGAGGATGTAGGGTAAACATTCTACCTTGGCAAGAAAAAAATGATTGAGTTGACTGGCAATTAGTATCTGCACTGTTTGATCATTTATTACTTATATGATTCTTTCCTTATTACCTACCTTGATGTTTAATTCCATGCTGAAATGTGTCTGATTTGCATACTAGTAACATGATCGATAGTGACATGTCGATATTGATTGTTGTTTGACTGTTGTACCACTTACCTGATCCTCCTTGATATTTCATTCTGAGTGAAAAAAAATGTAACATCACACTTGGTGTAAATCTTTTTAGTAGGCATTCACCATCACATGTAGACTACTTGAAATTGTGTTGTGAAATACATTTTCATCAATGCTATTGAAATGTTTAAATTATTCCAATGTCTTGAGTACCATTTACAGTGAGGGAAAAAAGTATCTGATTTTGTACGTTTGCCCACTGACGAAGAAATGATCAGTCTATAATTTTAATGGTAGGTTTATTTGAACAGTGAGAGACAGAATAACAACAAAAAAATCCAGAAAAACGGATGTCAAAAATGTTATGAATTGATTTGCATTTTAATGAGGGAAATAAGTATTTAACCCCCTCTCAATCAGAAAGATTTCTGGCTCCCAGGTGTCTTTTATACAGGTAACGAGCTGAGATTAGGAGCACACTCTTAAAGGGAGTGCTCCTAATCTCAGTTTGTTACCTGTATAAAAGACACCTGTCCACAGAAGCAATCAATCAGATTCCAAACTCTCCACCATGGCCAAGACCAAAGAGCTCTCCAAGGATGTCAGGGACAAGATTGTAGACCTACACAAGGCTGAAATGGGCTACAAGACCATCGGCAAGCAGCTTGGTGAGAAGGAGACAACAGTTGGTGCGATTATTTGCAAATGGAAGAAACACAAAAGACCTGTCAATCTACCTCGGCCTGGGGCTCCATGCAAGATCTCACCTTGTGGAGTTGCAATGCTCAAGAAAGCACATATACAGGCCCGTCTGAAGTTTGCCAATGAACATCTGAATGATTCAGAGGAGAACTGGGTGAAAGTGTTGTGGTCAGATGAGACCAAAATTGAGCTCTTTGGCATCAACTCAACTCGCCGTGTTTGGAGGAGGAGGAATGCTGCCTATGACCCCAAGAACACCATCCCCACCGTCAAACATGGAGGTGGAAACATTAAGCTTTGGGGGTGTTTTTCTGCTAAGGGGACAGGATAACTTCACCGCATCAAAGGGACGATGGACCGTCAAATCTTGGGTGAGAACCTCCTTCCCTCAGCCAGGGCATTGAAAATGGGTCATGGATGGGTATCCCAGCATGACAATGACCCAAAACACATGGCCAAGGCAACAAAGGAGTGGCTCAAGAAGAAGCACATTAAGGTCCTGGAGTGGCCTAGCCAGTCTCCAGACCTTAATCCCATAGAAAATCTCTGGAGGGAGCTGAAGGTTCGAGTTGCCAAACGTCAGCCTCAAAACCTTAATGACTTGGAGAAGATCTGCAAAGAGGAGTGTGACAAAATCCCTCCTGAGATGTGTGCAAACCTGGTGGCCAACTACAAGAAACGTCTGACCTCTGTGATTGCCAACAAGGGTTTTGCCACCAAGTACTAAGTCATGTTTTGCAGAGGGGTCAAATACTTATTTCCCTCATTAAAATGCAAATCAATTTATAACATTTTTGACAAGCGTTTTTCTGGATTTTTGTTGTTGTTATTCTGTCTCTCACTGTTCAAATAAACCTACCATTAAAGTTATAGACTGATCATGTCTTTGTCAGTGGGCAAACGTACAAAATCAGCAGGGGATCAAATACTTTTCACCCTCACTGTACCTTTTTCTGAAATTGAGCACATTAATAGATATTAAGCTAACTTTGAATAAGACCGTAATTGAAACTGTACAGCCTACGAACTTAGTTTGATGTGAGTCTTTATTGGAGACTACTTAGGGTGTATTCATTACGGAAACCGTTTACTGTTTAATTAAGAACCAAACGGAAGCAAACAGGGACCTACCTGAATTTGTCCAATAGAAACTGTAGTTAGCATTTTCCGTTTGGAGTAAACGGTTTCTGTTGCAATATGTTTTGCAACAGAATCTGCGTACTGATTACACCTCTGTGCTGGAGTACATCTGCAAGATGGTGCTGGCAGGCTTAAATAATAAATGAATGTCAAATCAATTGCACTAAGTAGTTTTCCTTTTTGTTTTCTGTCACAGTTTAGCAAAACATAAAAAAATTACCTAACTAAATTTGTAACTAGTAGGTTACTTAAGTAGTTTTCTGACCGGATACTTTGTTACTCTCACTTGAGTAGTTTCTTATTAGGGCTACTTTTACTTTTACTTGAGTAAATTACAATCTAAGTAACAGTAATTTTACTTAAGTACAGATTTTCAGTACTCTACCCACCTCTGCAAATTATACATAGCCTAACTATAAAAGCTGGGCGAGCATACACACTGGAGGAAAGTTTATTGTTATACAGTAGGCCTACATCTGTCAATCAACTGATGGCCCAAATCAGTTCATCAACTTTAGCCAGGGAAACACAAACAGTAGCCTATTAACAAGGGGCCTATTGCCACCATTGATGGCACTAGATTATCGCATGTTGATGTTTCGTTAAACCATCAATATGCTCTAAATTCATCCACACAGCTGATCTCAATTGCAACCATTATTGGTCACATCACATCAAGATGATGTTGGTGTTACCTTAGTCAGAGATCTGTATATAATGATGAGATGCTCATGTCTCTGCCCTAACAATGGGAGTCGTTTTCCCAAAGGCAGGAAGGCAGGCGACAAATGTAGGTCTGCATATGAAGGCCATAGAAACGCATTGGGCTTATTCTGGACAGATTTTGGCAAGAGTGAGCCCTCTTACTTTGCCTCTTCCTCTCTGCCTTAGTTCTGCTTGCAACCAAAGTATTTCAAGATACAGAATGTTCACCCTGTGGTTGGTATTGTCATCGAAACAACTTAGTCCTTTTTGAACCAACTAAGGGCGATTTATCTATTTGACAAACATTCCGTACAATAGAAATAAAAGTATTTCCTTGTTTACCACGGCAAATCTACTTTGGCAATTTACCCGACACTTTGTATGAATGGAAACTAATGTTGGTGTAGCCTACTCTTATTATTTTATTTGTTTCCTATTTATGTTATCCAAAAGTGTCTGGGTGAAATATCCCTGGACTGTCCATATTTGAAATGTGTAACTAAATCAAGTCAATTGGGGGGATTGAGTTATTTTTGCCAGAAGGGAGTAAGCCAGAATCGAACCCACACTGACATGGTAGGCCTATATCTGCGCCCTGAAGGCAATGGCCCTAACCACTAGACCATCCCAGGCCACGATTGAACTGAATTTTGACAAGTCACTCGTAACCTTAGGATACACTTCACACGTGTACGTCATAGCCTAGTGAAGACCAATATCTATTTTGTGTTATTAAGCTATATTTAATGACGGTGGTTGATATGTATGGATGCATTTCAGAAACACTGTTGCATTAGTAGGGCCTAGAGATATGATTTTGATAGCAGGCCTGATCCCAATGACTCAACTGCCCCCGCATGGATAGAAAGAGAACTGCACATTTTCAAGGAATCACAAGGCTCATTTGAATTTCCTGATGTAGCAGGACATTTCTCCCTGACAAAAGAGTGATCAAGTTAAGATCCACAATCTGTAGGCTCACCACACATTTGATAAAAGGTAATAGCGGTAACATTGTTTACAATTCATTTCTATTGAGCACAACATAATCCAAAACACAACCAAAGCAAATGCATCCAACAAGTTTGTAGAGTCACAAGTCTGATGTAGTCATTGTGTGCTAAGAATATAGGACCAAATACAAAAATGTTGACTAATTTAATACACTATAATTGAATTTGTTCAAATACTTATGACAAATAATTTCATTTCTAAATGGTAAAACAGATATGTATGAGAATACCCTCAAATAAAAGGCATTCTGTTCTGTCACCTCATGAAACACCTCCAAATACTAGAGTATACAGTAGAGCCAAATTAAAAGATTTAGCTTCATTGTCCAAATAAATATGTAGGGGAGTGTACGAGCGATAATTGGGGCATATTGGAATCACTGTCTGAGTAGTTATTCATTTGTCAAGCGATAATTCCTTGTTGTTGTATGACTGGACTGTTTTTTTTACAACCTCTTCAGCCTTTGGCGCTATCCTGCAGGGCAGTCTGTTTGGCATGGCAGGCCTAATGCCTGCCAAATACACCACGCCCATCATGAGTGGGCAAGGCCTGGCGGGCACTTTCGCTGCCTTCTCCATGATCTGTGCTATCGCAAGTAAGTCTGAGAGATGATACACCTTTTTTAAGAGGGGGCAACCGTGGCATTTCAAAATCAACTCTCTCTCACTCTCTCTCTCTCTCTCCTTCACCAGGTGGCTCAGAGATAAATGATGCTGCTTTTGGATACTTCATCACAGCCTGTGCAGTGATCTTATTGGCCATAATATCCTATGTGGTCCTCCCTAAACTGGTAATAACTGAACTCTGGATTTAATATGTTATTACATACATTTGGCTGAAAATGTGCTTAGGAGAGTCTACTCAATGATAATAAGTAATGCAAGTAATACTTTCGGGCAATTTTACCGTAATAGAATTACGGTGAAATCTCCCTCAGTTTTATTCTTTGTATTTGCACAGTGTTTCCTGTAAATTCTCTTCGGAAATTGTTAAAAGTAGTCCTTGTGCATAGAGTTTTATGGTTTGTTAAACTTTGAAATCAATGTATTTTCTTTGGTATACATTTTAAAGTGAAACATCTGAGTCTCAGCGTAACTCCGTTACCCTGGTTACCCTTCCACAACGTTTCATTCACTACTTATTCATTTCCCAGTGTTGTTAAAGAAAACAAGATATGTAATACCTCCATTTGAGCCATTCCAGTTGATCTCTTCCGTTTAACGACCATCCCCAGTGTGAAATAATTGGTCATTCTGAACCTTACTTTAGGAGTTCTACCAATATTATAAGAGCCAAAGTGGAAACAGGGTTAGTGATGAGGAGAACAAGCTGGATCTTCTCAAGAAAGGTAAAATGACAGCAATTTCTGTTTCTTATATTTGTGAAAATATTAAATGTAGAAATAAGAGAATTGTCCTTTTTATTTTATTGTATAGAAAAGTAAATCTAAGACACCCATTGAATATATTTCTATTCAAACATATTTGTATTACCAATTTTATCAATCATGGAAGATAGCAATATATTAAAGGAGCAATCCGCAATTGCTACATACATTTTTGGACTTTTAAATTCATGATATATAGCATTGATTCTTAAAGAATATACAGTGAGGGAAAAAAGTATTTGATCCCCTGCTGATTTTATATGTTTGCCCACTGACAAAGACATGATCAGTCTATAATTTTAATAGTAGGTTTATTTGAACAGTGAGAGACAGAATACAACAAAAAAAATCCAGAAAAACGCATGTCAAAAATGTTATAAATTGATTTGCATTTTAATGAGGGAAATAAGTATTTGACCCCTCTGCAAAACATGACTTAATACTTGGTGGCAAAACCCTTGTTGGCAATCACAGAGGTCAGACGTTTCTTGTAGTTGGCCACCAGGTTTGCACACATCTCAGGAGGGATTTTGTCACACTCCTCTTTGCAGATCTTCTCCAAGTCATTAAGGTTTCGAGGCTGACGTTTGGCAACTCGAACCTTCAGCTCCCTCCACAGATTTTCTATGGGATTAAGGTCTGGAGACTGGCTAGGCCACTCCAGGACCTTAATGTGCTTCTTCATGAGCCAATCCTTTGTTGCCTTGGCCGTGTGTTTTGGGTCATTGTCATGCTGGAATACCCATCCACGACCCATTTTCAATGCCCTGGCTGAGGGAAGGAGGTTCTCACCCAAGAGTTGACGGTACATGGCCCCGTCCATCGTCCCTTTGATGCGGTGAAGTTGTCCTGTCCCCTTAGCAGAAAAACACCCCCAAAACATAATGTTTCCACCTCCATGTTTGACGGTGGGGATGGTGTTCTTGGGGTCATAGGCAGCATTCCTCCTCCTCCAAACACGGTGAGTTGAGTTGATGCCAAAGACCTCGATTTTGGTCTCATCTGACCACAACACTTTCACCCAGTTCTCCTCTGAATCATTCAGATGTTCATTGGCAAACTTCAGACGGGCCTGTATATGTGCTTTCTTGAGCAGGGGGACCTTGCGGGCACTGCAGTATTTCAGTCCTTCACGGCATAGTGTGTTACCAATTGTTGTTTTTGGTGACTATGGTCCCAGCTGCCTTGAGATCATTGACAAGATCCTCCCGTGTAGTTCTGGGCTGATTCCTCACTGTTCTCATGATCATTGCAACTCCACGAGGTGAGATTTTGCATGGAGCCCCAGGCCAAGGGAGATTTACAGTTATTTTGTGTTTCTTCCATTTGCGAATAATCGCACCAACTGTCGTCACCTTCTCACCAAGCTGCTTGGCGATGGTCTTGTAGCCCATTCCAGCCTTGTGTAGGTCTACAATCTTGTCCCTGACATCCTTGGAGAGCCCTTTGGTCTTGGCCATGGTGGAGAGTTTGGAATCTGATTGATTGATTGCTTCTGTGAACAGGTGTCTTTTATACAGGTAACAAACTGAGATTAGGAGCACTCCCTTTAAGAGTGTGCTCCTAATCTCAGCTCGTTACCTGTATAAAAGACACCTGGGAGCCAGAAATCTTTCTGATTGAGAGGGGTCAAAAACGTATTTCCCTCATTAAAATGCAAATCAATTTATAACATTTTTGACATGCGTATTTTCTGGATTTTTGTTGTTGTTATTCTGTCTCTCACTGTTCAAATAAACCTACCATTAAAATTATAGACTGATCATTTCTTTGTCAGTGGGCAAACGTACAATATCAGCAGGGGATCAAATACTTTTTTCCCTCACTGTAACGTATAATCAATTGTATATAATCAATTGTACATAAAGCTAGCAAGTATATAAATTATTGTTGATGATGAACTAAGCAATGTTATCCATTCCAAATGAATGACATAATTGTATTCTGGGTTTATTTTGTAAATGATCTTACCCACTGGGCACACACTGGTTGAACCAATGTGGAATAGACGTTGAATTGACGTCTGTGACCAGTGGGTAGTTGTCTAACCCCACCTGAACCCAAAATATAAGCGGGTCCATACTTGCAAACATTAGAAAAAGTTTACGTTTAAAATTATGCTCCGTCTCAAAATGCGCATCAGCCAACACCCTATGCAAGTAGCCTTGTAGGCTTTTTGAATGGTCTTCAATGGGCAAAAATGTAGATCAATGGTCTTCAGCGCAAAGACATCTGACAGAAGTAAATGTATCCACAAACACTAATATATTTTTTCGATACTGTATCTTATATGACACCGTTTTCATGAATTTGATCATATACTCACCAAGCCCATTCAAAAGACCATGGACATGAACATGGCAGTATGATGTAGGAACGTGTAACACAGGGTATTATACAATCGTTGATGTAGTTGTACGTGATACAACGCTACATGTATACCTGTTCCCATAAGATAACCTGCCACATTTAGCCCTATGCTAACCTGACCAGGTGGCAGTGATTATATCCGGTAACAAGTTCTGCATCAGCCAATTACAAATGTTGATGTAGATGGACGTGATGGAATACTTTTCAATCAGAACATCCTTAACAGTAGTCAAGCGGTTCCCGATAGTCAATGGTACTACAACATACACAAAATGTCAACTGAATGATTTGCTCACAGTTTAGTGAGCCTGGCTCCTGGTTCTTGTCACCTTTTGCGGCAAGTTCGAATCCCAGGTGAGATATTGTTTATTCTTTTGAAATGTAGAATTACAATTATTGTGATAGTGTTGCGAAGGGAAGTGCAGCCAAAACCTTGTAAATGAAGATGAAATCAAATCAAAATAATGGGTTATTTGTCACATGCGTCGTAAACAACAGGTGTAGACTAACAGTGAAATGCTTACTTATGGGTCGTTTCCAACAATGCAGAGTTAAGATAAAGATTTTTATTTTTTTGAAAGTGACAGGAGGAATAGTCTAAATACACAGTGAACAACGAATAACAATAACAAGTAAAAGTAGGCTAACATGCCTATACTATATACAGGGAGTACCAGTAGCCTACCAAGTCGATGTGCAGGGGTACCAGGTGATTACAAATCTATATTATAATATGCTAAGGATTCTAAACTGCGGGAAAGTCTCCTCCTACAATTTTGGGCCGATGTTCTTCATTTTAGGCTCAAAAGAAGGTCCTCCCACATCGGATGATCCACTTTATATTCCGGTGTGTTATGTATTTTTGTTTATTTTCCCGGTTTTTGTGTTTGGAATGGCACGGTTACTATTGCATCATCCTGCCAATACTAGGTTACTATGACGTTACTGAAGAAAGGAGTTTTCAAAATTCTAACTGTGATAATTATTGTATCATAATTTATCCCATGATGACTTGACTCCCGCCCCCCCCTCCAACCCTATAAAAGGGACCCCGGCCCTTCTAAAAGTAATTCATAGTCTTATTTATCATTCACAATGCCCAGAAGATGCAGAGCATCCACCAGCCGCCCTGTCCGCAGGTGCCTCTGCCCCACCTGACCTAGCCCCAAGTGAATTAGCATATGTGATATTTGCACAAAAAAATATGTACGCAAATTAATCTCTATTGAACAAAATACATCTGCAATTCTGGAGCCCTATTTTGACAGTAAAATTATAACAACAATAGCCTAATTGTCAAACCAAAATGAATGCCAATCACTGATTTAGGTATTGCACATAGTATATATATACATTACCAGTCAAAAGTTTGGACACACCTACTCATTCCAGGGTTTTTCTTTATTTTTATTATTTTCTACATTGTAGAATAATAGTGAAAACATCAAAACTATGAAATAACACATATGGAATCATGTAGTAACCAATAAAGTGTTAAACAAATCAAAATATATTTTATATTTGAGGTTCTTCAAAGTAGCCACCCTTTGCCTTGATGCCAGCTTTGCACACTCTTGGCATTCTCTCAACCTGCTTCATGAGGAATGCTTTTCCAACAGTCTTGAAGGAGTTCCCACATATGCTGAGCACTTGTTGGCTGCTTTTCCTTCACTCTGCGGTCCAACTCATCCCAAACCATCTCAGTTGGGTTGAGGTCGGGTGAATGTGGAGGCCAGGTCGTCTGATGCAGCACTCCATCACTCTCCTTGGTCAAATAGCCCTTACACAGCCTGGAGGTGTGTTTTGGATCATTGTCCTGTTGAAAAACAAATGATAGTCCCACTAAGCGCAAACCAGATGGGATGGCGTATCGCTGCAGAATGCTGTGGTAGCCATGCTGGTTAAGTGTGCCTTGAATTCTAAATAAATCACTGACAGTGTCACCAGCAAAGCACCACCACACCTCCTCCTCCATGCTTCACGGTGGGAACCACACATGCAGAGATCATCCGTTCACCTACTCTGTTTGGAACCAAAAATCTCAAATTTGGACTCATCATACCAAAGGACAGATTTCCACCATTCTAATGTCCATTGGTCGTGTTTCTTGGCCCAAGCAATTCTCTTCTTATTATTGGTGTCCTTTAGTAGTGGTTTCTTTGCAACAATTCGACCATGAAGGCCTGATTCATGCAGTCTCCTCTGAACAGTTGATGTTGAGATGTGTACGTTACATGAACTCTGTGAAGCATTAATTTGGGCTGGTAACTCTAATGACTCTAACTCTAATGACTCTAACTCTAATGCAAAAATCTCTGAAGCTGGAGACACTTATCTCCCTCACTAACTTTAAGCATCAGTTGTCAGAGCACCTTACCGATCACTGCACCTGTACACAGCCCATCTGAAATTAGCCCGCCCAACTACCTCATCCCTATATTGTTATTTATTTTGCTCATTTGTACCCCAGTATCTCTATTTGCACATCATCTCTTGCACATCATTCCAGTGTTAATACTAAATTGTAATTATTTTGCACTATAGCCTATTTTATTACCTTACCTCCATAACTTGCTAAATTTGCACACTGTATATTATATGTATTTCTGTTGTATTTTTGACTTTGTTTTGTTTTACCCCATATGTAACTCTGTGTTGTTGTTTTTATCGCACTGCTTTGCTTTATC